GGGGGACAATGGGAATTTAACATGAGTGACATCATGGAACTGGGTACTAGGGGAAAATGGCAACAGTGTTACAAGTGGCTAACTTCAGTCGGGTGGGAACTGCGTAGTTGACCTCAACACACACTAGTCTTGGTATAATAGAAAATGATATGTGAGATATTTCTGGGTTTAAAAAAAGTATTTACGGGGAAAGGGCTAATTTAACATGAAAGCAACTCTCTGGAACAGGAAAGCAACTCTCTGGAACAGAAATGTTTCTGGGACGAAAGTGTTTATGGGGCAGAAAGGTTTATAGGGTCAAAGGGGAATGGTAATGGTAGAGTTTAATTTGTCAACATAGACACACACACAGACACACACATACACACACACATACAATCACGCAACACTTTGTGTTGGCTTAGAGTGTATGAGAAGGAGATGAAATTGTAGAAACCTAATATGTATTACACCATAAATCACTATCCGTCACAACATCTATGCCATCCAACACCCGGAAAAAAACCATGTTTAGAGTAGGTTACGAAATCCAACAAACATACAATCACATACCACAATAAGCATCCAATACCCCATACACACATTTTCCAAAACACCTTGTGTCAACTTAAACACTAAGAGAAGATGAATGTAACAAATATACAATCAACCACAACAAACATACCATCCAATACGCATACACACAATATCCTATATATTCTATGTTATCTTAGAGCGTAAAAGTAGCAGATGAAATCTCATAAATATGCTTTCACACACCTTATATACAATCCAACAATCCAAAACACCTTGTCTTTGCTTAGAATGTAGGAGAGGATATGAAATCTCACAAAATATAATATCTCTTAAACAACAAAATAGTTTTCATCACACCTTCGTTATTATATAACATCATATACACATATAAAAAACTTCTATACCATAATCCTATGTATGTTAGTATATACTCAAAGTTTGAAAACTCAAGAGACAAACAATGAAGGATAATCATAATGACTAATATTTCCACTTGCAAGACCAAAGCGCGTACGTGGAGGAAAAAATTCATTTCATTTCTAGCTTATACACAAGAGAGAGAGAGAGAGAGAGAGAGAGAGAGAGAGAGAGAGAGAGAGAGAGAGAGAGAGAGAGAGAGAGAGAGAGAGAGAGAGAGAGAGAGAGAGAGAGAGAGAGAGAGAGACAGACAGACAGACAGACAGACAGACAGACAGACAGACAGAGGAACATATATTCATTCAGTGACAATAAAAACATCTAATATTTTTTCAACAACAGTATCTTAACAAGAAACTTCTCAGATACAAACAAACAAGTCAAGAGTTTTCAAACATATTTACAAGGCTGACAACGTTGTGGAGTCAAACTCTACTTCCACTGATCTAGGTCATTGGATCATCGATGCACACTATGTTGCATAACTAAAGACAAAAGATAACTATAATGTTCACAAAATCATCTTTCTACTTTATCATCATCATTTCTAGAACAGTCGCTATCAAAACAAGCCTCTAAATGTTCTAAGGGATATTTAAGACTACTCTGGTTAAGAAAATACACAAAATAATATCCACACAAATTTGCGCCTTTTTATCTCATGTTATTGACAAGAGATTAGTTTGCATTTTATCTCATAAAGTCAATGATATTGTCTTCGACAAGTAGGAATCCATAAAAATAGAGAAAGTCCACACTGAGGATTTCCGGTAGATGATCGTCGTAAGTGTTGATGACATAGACTTGATGATCACTAGTATTGCAATTATGAACTTTATCTTTAGCACATACAACAGGATTCCAAAATGCAGTGTATGAACTGTCGGTCAGAAGGTAAGAGAGCTTCGATGAGTTTGATCTCCCGAGAAGTCGATGGAGTCGAGAAATAGTCACGCAAATCATTATCCCACTGATCCAGCACTTTCTCGTCCGAGATGCGACCCCAAGCGTCATGCAGATACTCTTCCAAGTTTTCTTCTTGACTGATCATCAACATCGTATTGAATTTGACTGAAATGAACGTTTTTACATCGATTACAATGCTCGTGGGTCATGGATGTAATGTTTTCAGTCAGATGCTTAGCAAAACAGGAGACTAACTGTTCCTCTTGTTCTGGCCGTCTCGGCATCATGACGTTCATTTTGTCTTTTTCTTCTATAGTTTGTTGTTCTGGCTCAAATACATTTTCAGCCACCATTTCCAAGAGGTTCCAAATTTCAAAGAGGGACAATATTCCTATATAGCTTCGAATAGACTAGAGTCAATTCTCTCAAGTTGCTGGACACAACGGATACACATCTAGGTATTTGATTTCTTCTCTTTTATCATCATCTGCGTGGTAAAACAAGCATTCTTGTGGGTCTAGACGGTCTACATCAGTATAACTTTCCACGATGTATTTAAACACGGAATCGGGTTTTAAACATAAATCGTACTCGTGCTCCCACGTTTGAGACTACTTGGTATCTTTCTTGCTTTAACTTTAAATGACGTTTTTAAATGTTATCGTATAATTCTTCCATGGTATCACGTTGAAGATAACAGGTCGGATATTTGTAGACGATCTTGGCGTCTTCTAACTCCCAGCCATCCACCGAAAATTTTCCAATTGTCTTTGAGCATCTTCCATTCTGGGCATGTGATCCAACATTTGTCTTTCCTTTTGCATAAGTAATGTAACTAACGCACAGCTTTGTTGGAGTATCGACACCTGATGAACTCTGTTGTTTGAGGGCGAATGACAGCTATTGTGTTCTCAGGCATGAATCGCTTGCGGTACACTAAGGAGCACGCTTTGGCGATAGTACAGAGTTCCTTCAAAGGATATATCCCTTTGTTCTCCATTAACAGTTCTTAAAATAAATTTCCACAGCAACATCGTCAAAAGTCCACGTCGGAGCGATAATACTTCAACATTTCTTCCTGAAAGTGGAAGTGGACCAAAGCGTGATAGCGTTCCCAAGCGTAGAAAGCTTCTTGTTCGGTGCGCATATTGTTGGGTCATAATGGTGGGCGTGAGACGAATATGGCAGGAACTTGTTTTGATTGGCTTCGGTAATGAAAAACTGTTGAAAATATTCTTTGGCCACTTCTGTCATTTCAAACGTTTTAGACATTCGACTCAAACGCATGTATAAATAACTCAGAATATTTACACTGTATTTGTCCCACTTTTATGTAGATGATTTTGCCTTCGTTCATGGTGACCTGCAGACATTTGGTACCTTATTCTAAATAATATTTGAGAACAAATTGTTCATCATATCTTGAGAAAGTATAAGCCATCACCGTGGCATAGCGACGGCAGTCTCCGTAGCGTTCATTGTTTTCTTTGCTCCACATGTCGATAGGGTCTAACATCTGTTGGGCGAAATCGAGAGGAATGTTTATGTCCTCGAAAGATTTTTTTCACGTCCTCCTGGAATCTAGCTACGGTGGAGGCAATTAAACATGATCGGTTCTTGCATGCAACTCTTGCATGCCTGATGTGCCACACAGAAATTAGGAATGAGAATGGATTCGAATAATAAAAGATGAAATTCCCTTTAATCTTCTCATCCGCCACCGGTTTCGGTTTTTTCCAAGTCAACGATTTGGTAACAAATATGATATCGTTTCTTCCCTCGACGAACGTGCATTTTGGCGTTATTAGTGCGTATGAGTGTTCGCAAGTAAACCACAGTCTTAGGTGTTAGCAAGCACATTTTTACTATGAACCTTGTGTCATGAGATGTTGTTGGTTACACGTAGGGAGGACAAACGTTCCTTGACAAGCCGAGTAACGGATTTGTTCTTGTCCTTTGGAAACGCATGGTTTAGAGGCTAAACACTCTATACATCTATCTGCACAATGAATGCGTTTCTCCCGACTTGTAAACCCTACTCACATTTTTCACAATAACAAGTGTATCAGAAGAATCCGGTGATGCTGGTAATGGCAACGCAATGCTCTTCCTAATGATAGAGGTCTGGGAAATCCGTCTGGGAAATCCTTGTCACGAATCACCAGAGTTCCGCGCAGTTGGATGATATAGATGGTGCGATGGATAGTACTTTATGGTGCAAGGGATAGTAGGTTAGTAAGATTTCATTTCCTTCTCTTACACTACAAGCTAACACAAGGTCGCATGTGTGTGCTTATGTATGTGTGTGTGTGCGTGTGTGTATTGAAAGTTACAATTTAAAAGTTTTGACAATTAACCGTTCCCTTAGACCCTATAAACCTTTGTGTGCCATAAACACTTTTGTACCCATATACTTTCCTGCCCCCGAAGTGTTGCTTCCATGTCAAATTCACACCTTACTCATAAACATTTCCCTTGTGAAATACCAATTGTCCATATGCAAATTTTTCTGCCGTTGTCCCCTAGTCGCCCACATTACTACTTATGTGTAATATATATATTCAGAATGACACTCTTTTCACAAATAAATTATCATATAACCTGTAATGTGGCGCTACATAGGCTTCCAGTACTGAGGTGCCGTTAAACCACAATCAACCCAATCAATACCCATGCATATATTTTTTTCGCTGTAAGCAAATTGTTATGACGGATAACCCTCTGTATTTAAATTCACATTTTAGGATATGCTTTCGACTTCACATTATTCGTATTTGCATTAATTATCAGACTGATACACTACCGCCACCCACCTCACCCCACAACCAATATATATATATATATATATATATATATATATATATATATATATATATATATATATATATATATATATATATATATATATATATATATATATATATACATATATATATATATATATATATATATATATATATATATATATATATATATATATATATATGTGTGTGTGTGTGTGTGTGTGTGTGTGTATGTGTCAACAAAGGCATTTTTAAATCAGATCATTTCCGAAGCACTCACACAAGATATAATACCGTTGATTTTGTCATAGAATTCGGTATCGACTTTTGTAACCGAGTTATCAATATTTGTACTGAATGTCATTTATTATGCGAACCGCTCCGGTGGCCTAGTGGTTAGAACGTCCGCCTTCGATGTGGGAGGTCGTGGGTTCGATCTCCTGCCGAGTAACACAAAAGACTTGCAAAAATGGTGCTAACAGCTTCCTCGCTTGGCACTCAGCATTAAGAGGTTAGCGTTAGGACTGGTCGGCCTGGTGTCAGGATATTGTGACTGAGTGGGACATCATACTAAATGTCGGCAGCATGATTCCCCAGTGCTAGGCATTACTATAAACTGCCACACTGCAGACATAGTAGCAATAAGACTGAAAAATTGTTAAAGCTACGATATTATGCTTCCATGGTTTTGATTTTGCGCGTTGATCTGTGGTAAAAGGCTCTATATCACGCCCACCTCAGTATATGTATTAGCTTCGTCATGACATGAATCAATATTTCGATTTACTGTACTTTTGTACAAAAAAGATTCTTTACAAGAAAATAATATCATCACAATACAAAAGCTAATATCAGTTTGAATTAATTGTTAATAGTTGATTCTACAGTTCTTAAAAACTGCAAGTTATGTTTTGTCCTGTTTCAGACAAGAAATAGTACTGCATTTGCCGAAATCATTTTGTCCATGTTGTCTGGCCACGTCTGTTGATCTGCACAAACTCTAGTATTAGCAAGGATGATGACTAAATCTTCTTTCTACACGTTTTCGCTAAGACTCCAGATCTTCATCTCATCTAGGCTGGTCATGGCGGTCGTATTTGGTCATGCCAGGCTATGTCTGCTACAGAAAATAATAGTATAGGATCCTAACACGACTGTCGGTTCTGAGTGGACAACTACACCTGGCTCCCTCTGAGAACAAAGTCTCATCCACTACACCTGGACTCGTCTCCAGACGTATAGACGTTTTCGTGCCACTTGATTGAACCAGGACTGGATGTTCGAATGATTCAGCGCAACACACCCTCACTTAAATCCAGTTGAAACCAACGTCCTGACATCCTCCTCCTACCCCCATCATACACTGTAAAAGTCCTGTGGCAGCGACGAGCAACAAATGAGTTTGTTTTTTTAAAAATACAATAGGAGTCCTAGCGACACATTGGTGGATCTTGGAATTGAAGCAGCAAACAACAGTCATCCTGAGTAACTGAGTATCCCTATTGTGGAGTCCAATGTGAAACTTATTAGCAAGAGGAAGAGGCTAGAAAAGATGTCTAACATCAGTTTCACCTGTTAATGATGGTGATCCCACTTTAGCCGTCGAAAATCACACTATACGACAAAGATTCCTCACTATCGGAGCCTGGACTGTGTGCTCACTAACAAACAGCACATTAGCAGATAGATCAGAGAGCTCTACTGGCAAAGAACTGACCATATATATATATATATATATATATATATATATATATATATATATATATATATATATATATATATATATATATATATGTGTGTGTGTGTGTGTGTGTTTGTGTGTGTGTGTGTGACAAATGCGTCTAAAGTTAAAAACTGTCTTGATTGGTTCAATATAGCGCTGTATGCTATAATTGTTTTTTTCGTGATTCATTATTAGAAGTTGGGGGGGGGGCAGAACGCCCCCATCTAACAACCTTTTGAAATTTATGGCATTTTTTTTTTACATGATTGTGTTCGCAAATAGACAATTTATTTAACAAATGCGATGCGTCTAACATAATGGAATGATGTTTAATTTCAATGAAGAAACTATTTACGAGAGAAATGAAAAATGGTAAAAATTTATAAAGTTGAATTTTGCCCCTATGCTGGGGCAACACGCCCCCTCCGGGGCATTTTGCCCCACCATGCATTCAATATCTGTAAAGGTCTGTAAAACTACAGTAATACAATTGAACTGTAAAATCAAGTATTATTCCTATATGGACATTTTATATATGGCAAAGATGCTAAAACTACATACTGTTACATCATTCAAATTAGCACGACAATGAGGATAAGCAAGCAGCTACAACAATGCTTAAGTCTAAATAGTCCTTAATTTCAAGCGTTAATGAAGATAAAAAAGACCAAAGTCATGGTAAATTCTTTATTACTCACAGTTAGCACAGCAAAATTGCATATTGAGGGTGGTGCCACAAGATTCATGGCACCACCTGGTACATTCTTTGCACTGCGACCAGGAATCTTCTACTAAAGGATCATCACTCCTTCCAATTTCAAATTCGCAGTTTCCACAAATGTTGTCTTTATTATGTGTTGTGTCTGCTGACTGAGCAAGATCGTGCTTAGCAACTGCCTTGGGTCGCGAAGCCATTTCTCCCTTTTCATGGTCCTGTATACAATCTGTCTTCATAATCCTAGATGGATTTCTACCTCTCTCTTTGTCCCCTCTACGTGTCTGCTTCTTTCTCTTCTGCATTTCTTTCTGCTTTGAAACCTTGGTTTCATTCCATTTGCTCATACTTGCCTGTACAGTTCTATGACATTTGCCATTTGAATCTGTCATCGTCTTTCTTTGCTTTTCAATAAGTATCTTTTCATACGGTGATGATGTTAAGTTCATGGCTGATTCTGCCTTTCGCTTTCTTGTGCGTTGACTGGATATTAGAAGCTTTAGCGAAAAATAAGCAATATGTTCACAAATGCTGAATCGTTTGCATTTCTGCATTCGTTATGAGATACCGCCAAGGTAGCACTTTCCGTTCTTCCAGCAAGAATAGCTTCGTCAAACATTTTCCGATTGCCTGTCTCCTCGACGGTGATGGCAGAGTGATGTGTTTGTTGATTATCAGGTGACTGAATATAAATTGTTTTATCTATCTCTGGACCTATCCCCAGTGGCTGTTAGCCGAAATTCAACCGTTTTGCTTGTTTTTTTTATGTTTCTGGGTTTCCAGAAGTGATCATAACGTTATTAATCGATTGATAATTAACTTACATATTTTCCTCATTTGATTTTTCTGTATCGCCTGCCCCACCTGCAATAACTGTAGGAGTACCAACTGATTTTTTGTCAGCTGTCTTGTCCTCTTGAACAAATGTTTCTGCATCACCCGACCACTCAAACATGTATGTGCAACAGGTAAACGACAGGTGATCTGCTGTATTATTTGATTCAATCAGTTGTGATGTCACATGTAGTGCTTCTTGACACGCATTCGACCCATCTGAAACTGGCTGAGGTTCATCAGTTACCATAGAAGGAGCGAAATCAACATTTGTAAACTTATTTGGATTAAAAGGCCAAAGTCCGCAGGCTTCAAAACCGGTGACAGCTTTCTGTAAAGTCGCAAATCGGTTATATGCTGCAGAAAAAAAAAAACAATCCGCAACTTAAATGCGCTTATTCGTCTTCCTGGATTGCTTGTCATCCAGTTTCCAGATTCCAAATTGAAAGCACTTTTTAGTGCTTTCAAAAATGTGACATCAAGAGGCTGGAGCCGATGTTGGCAATGGTGAGGAAAGGTTATCAACACAATCCCTTTCTGGCGTGCATAGAGAACAGCTTCCAACGTTTTATGGCTATGGTGCCCATCAAGAAGAAGAATGTGTGGAGAGTCCTTCGTACATTTCACAAAAGAAGTGAAATGTTCCAGCCGTTGCAAAAAAAAATAAATATGACTGTCCATCCACTTGAGCTACACAAGCCCAATGCTCCTGGTGCGCCATTCATCAGTGATGGAACCATTCGTTTGCGTGGGTAGATAAATGCTGGTAGTGCAAATGTACCAACCACATTTATGGCACATATTACAGTAATAGTTTGACAACGTTCACCGCTTGTTTACCAACCGATCTAACACCTTTGGATGCAATGATGTTTTACTGGCTTGTGTACATTACTAATGCCTGTTTCATCCATGTTCCATATTCTGATACCATCAGCAAGTGTTGCGTCAAGAGATTCCTTATAAACTTGGTAAAAAATTAACTACCTATGGCTTGTTAAAGCCCACGGCTCTGCTGATACTGGTTGCCTCTGGAGCTCTAATAGCTAGATTTGGATGCCTTTTTATAAAGCCTTTCAGCCAATCAATACCTGATGAATTGCCTTGAAATGGGTGGTTTTTAATATTAAGATAAACTGTTAATTTGTATGCCAAACGCCGCACGTCAAGAGTGGTAAGTCCAAATAATGCCTTTTCCATGTACTGAATGAGCTCGACTAGACGTAACTCATATTCAGGCTTGCAAACAGTAGTCTTACTTCCCAGTCTTGACACTCCAGGTTGCAAAACCTTCAAATCTCTATGGCTGCGTAAAGTTTTAGGTGGAATTCCATAATTCCTGGCAGCAGCTTTCAATGGAGCTCCACAACGAATTGCTTCATGAGCCGCATTTAGAGCTGGTGTCCCATAATTTCCTCAATCTATTTTCCTTCTGTAAGTTCGTACCATCTGCAAATAAGTATAGAATAATTTTAGGCATATGAACGGTTAGTTAAAAAGTGTAAAACATTTAAATGGTTAAGGCGCGTTTTGCCCCTATCGTATAGCATTGACAATTTAACAATAGGCGGTATTAACAACTGCTGAGAATCACGAAATAGTATACATGATGCATCTCCATACTATGATGTTTAAAAACATACGTACCCTGTTTTCTTTAGATAGTCCCTGTCAAAAATACTGCAAACAAATGAATCAAACACTTTTATAGGAAGATGCCAAAAAAGCAATATTCTTCTTTAAAAACCATGCGTGTGGCTGCATCCAACAATGGCTGCCATTTACGAGGCCTGCGTAACTTAGGCAAGCTTGCTATCTAAATACCGGTCCATTTTCTAGCGTAGGGACGTCAGGACAGCTTGGGGGCGTTTTACCCCATTTGGAGGAATTTTTTACCCCCTCTACCCTAATTACCTGTATTATCTTCGTTAAATCCAGAGTAACTGAAATTATTATTACAGGATATTCGCAATTCTTAAGGCAAACAAAAAGAAAGATCGACCTAGCTATCGTCCCTTATCTATTCTATCTGTACTTTGAAACTTTACATAAAAATGATGTCAGTTAGCATATGTTAAAATAGCTTTAAAAGTATAAAATCCACATAAAGCGCATTCAGGTTTCCAAAAATTATAAAACTTACACACGACTAGCAATTGAATTAACAAAGTTCCTGCA